AAGTAGGAATGTGAAGTTGCTGTGCCTGGAACTTTTTTAAAGATCCACTTAGCCTACTTAGATTTGACATCACTTTTGTTTGTAGTAAACTGTACAGGAATTTGTTCAGGGAATTCTTGCTAGGAAAATTGTGGTATTTAATTTTGGTTGTACAGCGAAGCAGGTGCTGTGTACCTCTGGGTTACTTATGTCATAAATTAAAAGACATTTTTCCAGCTAATAATTGATTTTTCTTTTGTTTAATTAGACGTGTCCATAACACTTTAATAACAAGCTAGAGAACGCAGTAGAGTTTAGGTAGGATAAAGCCTCTTCGTTTTTACTTAGTTAATTTTCCACTTTTCTTTTTTCTTCTTAGTTTATCTAAGAAGGAAAACTTTCTAGTTTGTATAGCATAGCGACTCTGGAAAAGAAAAACATTCACCTTATTGTAATACTATGTCTGTTACATCACTTCTGAGACATGATACGATGTAATGTTAGTCAAATGTCACAGCCTCCTTCTATGACCAGTAATGACTGATTTAAAGATATCATATTTGATTGTTTGAGCTTGTTCAATATTACAAATTGCTCTCTTAATTAGAAACTTAATTAGAAATTAGAAAATGTATCTCTAAACTGCATCCAAAGTTGAACAGTATTCCTCAGGAGAGAGCTAATTTTTTAAAAAATATCCAATATGATATTACCCAATATATATATAATCCAATAATATATTATTCAATGTATAAGTCTATTAGATACTTAAATATTTTTATAGACTAGATTAGACACTCCAGTCCATCTTCCTGCAGTAGTTCTGAACACCTAAAAGTAATACAACCAGATTAGAAACTGAGAAAAGTAAGGTCTTTCACGTATGAGGTCTCCATATGTAATTTTTTAATATCCCTGTCTTCAAATCATGCCACATTACAGAGCTGAAAACTAAATCTGCAATATACTTTCTACATCAGAATCTGCCTCTCAAGCTTTTTCAGCCTATATACTGCCAGTGAAATAGCAGCTTACAGTTTACATCCCTTTACATCCTTTGTTTGCTACTTCTTTTGCATTATGAAGCAGACCTATGAATCTGGCTATGTTTACTGTGATTGTTTGTGATTATTCCTTGCTTCTTCTATACATTCAATTATACTTTGAGTTATCATTTAAATCTTCTCTATACACAGGTGCAATCAAAATGGAGCCTCCTTCCCCACCCTATTTTTCAGAAAAAGTTCAGTTGTACAATAAACCTCATGAGGAGTCTTCGAACTCCCTCATGGCTATTGAATGCCGTGTGTGTGGGGACAAGGCCTCTGGATTTCATTATGGTGTGCATGCGTGTGAGGGTTGTAAGGTAAGTTGTCACAAATTTATTTTTTCTGAAGTAAGATTTGATACTATGTTCATCTGAATAATCACTTGTTAAAATCAAAGATCTGTTCTTTTAAAAAAAATTTTAGGTCTTTAAGTAAATTGTTCCACATATACTGCATATACTTTATGACTTAAGAGGCGCAAGTTTTTTTAAATACAATTTGCTTTTTTATTATGTTAGTGATCTATTCAATTTTTCTGTGCATTTCTTCTACTTTTGTCAATTAGCAATTATATTTCATTCCTGATGTCTTGGAGGTCACTTGCAGAATCTGAATTCATAGAGCACAGCAAAAGCAAACTCATGCCCAACTCCAAAGCTCAATACTCTGAGCAATTTAAAATTCAGACTCTGTTATTCTGATGGAGTAGAGTTTCTTTACCCAATTTACACATTTCTAGGTGACTACAGAAAAGTTTAATGGTATTAAAAATTGTAGCTGTCTGCTTTAAAACTCCACCAGCACTTTTTTATGTCAATGATATTTAGTGTTTATACATTTGTCCTTACAAAAAGGACAAATTAATAGTGTAAAAATTGACCATCTCCAAGAATGAGAAAAGAAATGCCAGAGAAAGAAATTAATAATAATTCATAGTTTAAAGAAAAATATTAGTTTAATGTGAAATTCTCATCTTCCCTATTTTCAATATCTTGAGGAAAATAACTAATAGGAAAGGCCCAAAGCAGAGCTCAAATAAAATTTGTAGCACTGAATTAAGAACACAAATAAAGCAGTAAGTATGCTGTTGATTACTTAAATTACAGTGAATTATATAAATAAGAGTTGGCATTATGCTTTTATTGTTATTATTCACTGTAAGGAAAAATTGTTATAAGGAACAAATGATGATAAATTTGGATAAACTTTATTATTTGATTACGAGTGATCTGAGAAAGCATCTTTAGACTGTAAAAAGACAGAATTATGAATATCTATAATGATTTCTCTCTTTACAAGACTTCGTAAGACTTCTGTGCAATAATTTCCATGAGTGTGGCACCAACTTTTTTTATTTTTCCTGTGCCAATGTACTTTGCAAATTTGTAATATCCAAATAATGGAGATAAACTAGAAAATACAGCAACCTAGAAAACAGAACCCAGAAATAAATATTGCAAAATAAGTTCAGCACTGTGCAAAACCAAAGAAATAGAATAGATGAAAGAATATAAATTCTCTTTAAATAGTCAGGTTCAAAAAGAAAAATAAAAACTTGAAATAGAATAAAAAAATAGTTGGGAAAGAAAATTTAAATAAGCAGATAACCCATAACCTTTTCTGTTTACTTGAGATCAAACTGCGGTTGGTTTGTTGTGATTTATGAAAAATTTTCTACATTGGTAGTGAAGTTTAGATTTTGAAAATGTCGTGTTCACTTTATAACAAATTGTCCCATGAGCAGTGGAACAAATGGAGCTTTGCTTCCTTTGGCATAGTGCTCTTCATGCTCAGCACGTCTGTAGAGCTCTCAAGTTATATCCCTAGTGTCCTTTCAACCCCGTTGATTCCCACAAGCTTCCCCAGCTATTTGAAATTTTTACCCCTCTATCAAACTAGGTTGAAAATGGCTAATAAAACCAAAACAGGAGCACACCGATAAGCAGACCGTATGATCACATGAGCCTTGCTTCCTTTGGAGATCTGTCTAAAACAAGCTGAGTTCAGTGTGTATACAGAAATGTGCTTTGTATGTATAGAGAAGTGAGACAATGACACTGGCAGTTTCTTGCATCCCTTTATGTGCTTTTATGTTTACTCCAGGGCTTTTTTCGAAGAACAATCAGATTAAAACTGATTTATGACAGGTGTGATCTTAATTGCCGCATCCATAAGAAAAGCAGAAATAAATGTCAATACTGCAGATTTCAGAAATGCCTCGCCGTTGGAATGTCACATAATGGTAAGTGCACATAGCATATTTTAAAACAATGATGTTTCATCTGAAAAATAACATGAAACGTTAGTATGATTACTGAATGTACTTCTTTAATATCTAGAGTCTTCTGTTTCTCTGCACTAGGCAGTTTAAAAATGTGTATCGGAGAGATTGCCTCTGAGTTTAGGAGACTATGCATATGATTGGAGATTACTTTCAATATAAAAATCAGATAGACATCTGCACTTATTGATATAATACATAGTATAATATACGAGTTGGTTTTACTCTCCATCATTCTTGCTCATTACACTGTTGGTTGTTCTTCCTGAACATATTCCTAGTGTAATTGTTGTTTTTCAGTTCATTGTCTTATTTTCTGACAAGACTCTTTTGCATACTATGGCTCAATATCCCTTTCCTATAAGCGGAAAACTTAATTTAATTATGAAAAATGGACTAGGGAATTTACTGAAACTTTGTGAATAATAGCAACTTGAATTTGATACATAGGACACTTACCGAGGACTGTTAGCATCGCTAAGTTAACACTTCCTCACACTAGAACACAACGTACTTTAAATGAATAGGCCAGACTCTGTACTGTTTTAAAAAATCTGTCCTCCTACTTCCTAGGATACCCACATCTGGGCATAGATTCCAATGTGTGGTAAGTAGGAGTGTAGAGTTTCGTAGCATGTCCATTCAGCTGTCGGCCTCTAACCATACAGTGCGTACAGCTGTGATTCCTGTGTAATATGCGCTGTCTGACCTCTCCACCATCTAGAGGTGAATATCCCTTCCCACCTGTGAACTGTAACCAGTGTTCAGTAGTCTCAGATAGCAAATGTGTTTGCAATTGTGTACAGTTCTGTGATTGCCTTCTTTATAGTAGATAAGCAGCTAGCATTAAGCATATCATGATACTACTCTCTTGCATAGAATTTAGAAGAAAGTCCCTCTAAACTTTAAAATTAACGTATCAATTCATGTGGAAACACTTACTTACAAATGTTTGGACAGAAAGACATAATGAAGATTCTTTGCTGCCTTGCTTTGGCAAGGTTGAGTGAAAACAGGAATTAAATGTCATAACATAGAGACTTATGTAATTCTAAGGGTAAAGAATTGCAAACATGACTGGGAAAATAATTTCTCTGTGGTTTTTTTAGAACTTTCATTATTTTCAATATAAAAAATGAGTGTACTGTCCCCAAGAGGAAAGCTTAACTGTGGTTTGCAAAGTTAATACATGCACTGAATGTAAATTGGTATGGGAAATGTTTTGCTAATAGAAAATATGGTTTTCAAGTTCCTGGGATGCAACAGTAACACTTAAAAATAAACCTAATTTTGAAATGCTACTGTGGGTATTTTTATAGTAATTCAGGAGGTTTTATTATTATTATTTTCAAGGTGCATGCCAAATTCTCTCATAACCTAGCAACACGGCTTCCAATTATGTCAATGGGAACCATGTGGAGTTCTATCGAGAAGGGGAAGGCCAAGACCATCCTCTCTGGCTTAGTAACACAAAGGGCCCAAGAAATATTTTTAAAAATAACATTTCACCTTCCATTTTTTTCCTGTTCAGCCACTGCCAAGGCAGAAGCTGTGGTACCAGCAGGGGCCGTGGTTATGGGAGTCGGGAGGAGGCATAGAGAGGAGGAGGAAAGGGCGAAGCCATTTGTCCCAGGGCTTGAAGGAACGCTTCCGTTTGCTCTCACCATAAGTTCACCTAACAGGGAATTAGTAGTGTTCATATTCACATGTTGGTGTCTACATTTGCCTTTTTCCCCACTCTGGTTACATTACATTGCATGAAACAACACCCTTATTCCTCCATCATTTATAAACAAATAAATTTATAAAAAAGAACTGAATTTTGCCTTTGAAGACACAGGTCTATATAAAGAAGCATGCAGAAATGCAACATTGGATGTGGTCAATGACACTGAGACATTTTATGCTACATCTACAGATTAAAGTTCAATCATTTGGGTAGTGAAAGTATCTGAATTTCATAGCATAATAAATTCCAATCATAATAAATGCTGGGAATCAGAATGTGGATTATTTGTGCCTGAAGGTTCCAGACTATGACTGTCTTTGCATAGATATATTATTGCCAAATGAATAGGGCACTTACAAGAACGGGGAATGCAAGGAGACACTTAGCAGCTACAGCCACATTTTTTCACGTTTAAATGCTACATACCACTTGGCTGAAGGTTAAAAAAGACAGTAGTGTTCTCATGCTTTGAATATTGTTTTCCTTTCCTTCTCTAGCCACAGTTCTGCTCTGGGTTTAACCCTTAGTTGCTCAGATTGCATTCTGAAGTATCACTAAGCAGAAGCTTAGTTCTTTTATTTTAGAAATGTCATTGATTTTTTTTTTCCTCTTCTACTAAAAGTACTATTTATATAAAACCAACTACTGTAATGAGAAAAAGAGCACGCATGGCAATATGTCTTTATTATCAGTTCTAGGAGATGTGAATTTCTCAATCTGGGCTCATGCCTCCAGTAAACTCACACAGGTATCCGCCCTGGCTTTATCTTGTGTTTTCTAGTCTAAGAAACTGTATTTATAGTCTATTTGGGGACTCATGCTCAAAAATAATCCAGACAATTGGAAGAATAGAGTATTTTACAGAATAGTCTATAAGCAATTGTAGTGACTTCTCCAAACTGTAAAATGTGGCATAAGGATAAATATTCCAGTTTTTCCACAGAAAAGCAAAGGATATAATGTAGCATGTAGTGTCTTACTGTATTCACTGTGGGGTTTATATCACTGACTTTTGGAGGATACTGTAAATGCAAGTAAAAGAAATAACTGCCAAAGGAAAGAGAGAGAGATCATATGTTCCAGCTGCAGGCACATGCCCAAACTTGCACAATCTTCTGTTACTGTGAAAGAAATTGCCATCTGAACCCCTTCCACCCTTGCAGCGTGAGCAGCAAGCCATATTTCCAGATCAAAAAAGCCATATTTCCAGATCTCTTATACTGGCTCGCTGGCCTGTCCCTGCCCTTCCGGCCTCTACAGATCCTGCCTTGAGCCACTTCCCAGGCTCCTGGGGGATAAGGAAGCTGGGCCTGCTGTGAGGGCAGATGGAGGGGAGAAAAGATGGAGTAGCAAAGAGGGTAAGTGGTCCCAGGAAATAGAAGATGAGGCCAGGGTCAGAGGAGGGAGGTAAAGAGAGAAGCAGAAAAGGATGCCACCTCTCCTTGAAATTTTCCTCAACCACCAGAAATGCTGTGAACTCTTACCTACCCTGTGAACTCTCCTTTTTCCATCCTGACCTCTGAAAGTATCATCAATCCCTCCTACTTCTCCTCTCACCTAAAATCCCACTTTCCAAATTCCTTCTGTAAACCTCCTGGTGCCTGACTTCACCTTGACTTTTCTCTGAGTCCCCTGAAAGTGACTGACAATGACTTTCAAAAAGACTTTCAAAAATTACTTTCCTTTCCAAAAGGAAACTACTAGGCTAGTACCACAAAACTGAATTTTGCCCCAGATTTTGCCTGCAATGCTAATAAACATTGAACAGAATCTGCTGTAACTAATATAATATTTATAAAATATATTCTAAACTCTAAAAAAAAGAATTTAAAACTGTCCTTTTGCCTAACAGATTATAAGATAGGAATGTTTGATTCACAACTCTCTAACTTTATGTATGTTGTTAACAAATTGTTTTATTTAAAATATACTTTTGGGTCCTGATCAACTTTTGTTTAGGAAACTTTATTCTCATAAATTGTGAATTACATCAGAAATCTTCAAGACACATATATTAATGAAATAGGGATAGTGTTTAAAAGTGGATCATGAAAGATCCACTGCTATTAATCCATCCTAAAAACACCCATTTAGAAAGAAACAAACACATGTGGAAATGATTGCTAGTAAACATACAATCCATATTAAAATTAAGATGCCTAACGAACTTTACCCTAAGCACAGTTTTCACACACTAAACATGAGAAAATATTATGAGATTCCTGAGGGATTTCATTATTGGTGAATTATTTTATGTAAAAGTCTGACATTATGACGGCAGGCAACAAGAGACACCCTAAGGATTTCTATAGTACAGAAAACAGTAAGATCTCATTTCCATTCTTAGAGAGGTGAATTCATGTATTTAGAAGAAGACTCAGTCCTATCTGCTAAATGCAAACTCTGCTAATATTAGTGGCTGTTTTGCTGAACTGATAGACATGTGATCTGATAGCTGGCAATCCCACTCAAGTGGGTTGTTAAACCAAGGATGGGTGTTTTAGGCCAGTAAGAGATAACCCCTGGCTCTACTGCTTTGATTAGCTAATCAGCTAGTGCATTCTTTGATAACAACGGCTAGTTTGGACTGATTTGACATTGATGTAATAGCTTTCTGTGCTATGAGTAAGCTTTGGTTGTCATATCTAACTCAATTCTGGATGCAGCATGCAAGCATTCAAGAATATAAATTAATGCTTATGACCTAGTTTACCATATAACATCATATGTGCTGATTTTCTTTCAAAGTAATCTCAGCATTTTAACAGACTTGCTATATAATTCAGTGTTACCTTTGGCGGTAGTACTTATTTCTTTTGTTGTTTGTGGGTTTTTTTTTCCTTTTTCATTCACACGGAAGGAATTTAAAATAATCTTTTTTAAAAAAGAAACCAGAAATCTGATCTTCATAGAAAAATTAGCATCATGTAGCCCCATGCCAAACCTATGCCAAATAGTCCTTAAAAACATAAAGTAAATTTCTATGCAGCTTTAATCATGTATCATTTGATATAGTCTTCCTCCAAGTCTTTAGACTCTAACTCCAAAATAGATTATACATGTGTCTTTGCATTCATAAAATTTAGCACAGCAAAGAAAATGCTCTGATTTAACTTTAATGTTCACAGGAGTTTTTGACTGTATATAAAAAATTATACAAATTCTGAAACACATGGAAACAAAAAATTAGATATGATTCCAACAAGGAAGAGTACTGAAACAAATAGCAAAGTAATAAATAATATTTGGGTTTTATAGCAATTTCATTCAGAGATCTCAAAGCACTTTTCAGGAAAATAAGTATCACCATCACAAGCAAAATAAAAATAAATGGTAAGTGAAAGAAGGTATCTACTCTGGAACTATTAACAGTAAATGAAATATTAACAGTATGATGAACTCCAATGCAACCTGTAAATTAATGGAAATAATTTTGTATTAGAAACACTAGGGCTTATACCACATGCCTACTTTGCTAAGGTAATTTGGTATCCTTTCTTGGGGATAGATAAGCATAGCAGAAATGTGATTCCAGAACACCCTTAGTCAATCTTATTTTCCTTTTAAAAAATAAACACAATGTAAGTTATCATTTATTATAAACTCTACACCAGTGCTATTGTGAACTTTTAACAGAGAACTATCAACAATATGTTGTTTAGCAATACCAAATTGCTAGCATGGATACTGTAATTTAATTTCCAAGAGACTCTTGGACAGGAGACAAGAGACTGCACGGGAATCAGGGTATAGGATAGGGGGCTTGTTTAGAAAACATAGTATACATACTACGCTGTCATTTTATACTCAAAATTAAAAGTAAGCCTATTTTATACTGGCAGTATCAGTGCAACAGTAGATACAGTTATGTGGAAAACTGCCATAAGTTTTAAAAAAGAAACTATTCCCCCTCATTTCTGGCAAACTTACTTGAAAAACCCAGACACTAGTCTATTCACTCATGTATGAATTTCTACCAATTTGTTACCAGTCTGGTTTCTGTTCTTTAAAAGAATACAATTATACAGCTTAGTAGATATTCTCTAGTGACAAAAACAACCTCCGTTTTCAAAATTCCTCATCTTTTCAATAGAATCTCTACATTAAACAATTCTACTTCAATAATCAGTGTCATAGCTGGTATATACACCGTGGTATATCATTAAGAACATTCCAGTAGATACTTGATTAAAGGGAGAGGAGAGAAGAAAAAAAAAGGTGGAAAAAAGAAAA